TTAGTCATCTGCGAGCGACACCGACAGGTTTTTCAGAAACCTAGGTCCCTGACGACCTAGACGGAGCAGTCCGGTCCGCCGCCGCTTCCACACGCGCTGCCGCCACTTCCACACGCGCCGCCGCCGATCATACTCGCCGCCAGAAACGAGCCGTCGGACCAGACTCGCCGCCAGAAACGAGCCGCCGATCATACTTCCACGTGAGCAGACTTGCTCCGCTGCTGGTTGAGCTGCTTAGTCACGGTAGTGTTTCTTCCGTTTCTTCCATGACTCTGTCGTTTTGATTTCACGGTTCTGCTGCTGTCCATACGTTTGTGAGCAGATTAGTCACCTTACTTATCTGCGTGATATTTTATTTGTAAACTAAAAAAAAAAAAAGGTAAAAAAAAAAAGTAAAAAAAAAATGTCTTCTGGTTTTTCTTCATTTGCTTCTGTTCCTATTATTACAACGGATCGTTTGGTTGGAAGTGCTAATTACCAATCATGGGCTATTTCTGTGGAGATGTGGTTCAAAGGTCAAGGACAAATTGATCACTTGCTTACAGATGCCAATTCAGTCAAGGAGAAGAAAACGGAATGGGAGAATATGGATGCACTGTTGTGCAATGTTTTGTGGCAATCCATGGACTCCAAACTTCATCTTACATATCAATCATATCGGACGTGTAAACAGATTTGGGAGAAAGCCAAGTCTAATTACACTAATGATATTCAAAGTCTGTTTTCTTTTGGATCCAAAATTGCCAATCTCAAGCAACAAGAATTGGACATCCAGGATTTTCTAGGCCGGGTTGAGGCTTTACTCTTTGAGTATAATACCATTCAACCTATCACGGAAGATAGAGAGAAACAACTAGAACAACGACAACAACTTGTTATGGTTTTAGCTTTGGCAGGTCTTCGCCCAGAGCTGTTATCTATACGTGAACAAATTCTCTCTAGTTCTACTGTTCCAACTATGACAGACGCTTTTTCTCGAATTCTTCGTGCGGCCCCGATATCTGCTGAATTGGGTTCTACTGATTCTACCATTCTTGCATCACAAGGTGTGGGGCCCGACGGAGGAAACAACAAAGGATATCTGCGTCGAAGCCGACCTAAGTGTGACTACTGTCATAAGATTGGTCATACTAAAGATAGGTGTTGGAAGTTACACGGGAGACCTCCTATAGCTCAGCCACTGTTGCTCAGATTCCGCCATCTCCAGTTGTTCTACCTCCAGACGAATATGCCGCCTATCAGAAATTCAAGTCTGCTAATGTGCCTTTATCTGCACCTGGTACGTCTACCGCTTGTATTTCAAACACCACAGGCTCATGGATCATTGACTCAGGTGCTTCAGACCATATTTCTGGTAATCCCCATCTTTTATCCCATATTACCAAACACCAACACCTTCCTTTAATTACTTTGGCTAATGGCCATCAAACTTCGGCCACGGGTATTGGGCAAGCACTACCACTTTCATCCTTACCATTACATTCAGTCTTATATGTTCCTAATAGCCCCTTTAACCTTGTCTCTGTTAGTAAAATTACGCGTGCTCTTGATTGTTCTATAACCTTTTTTGCTGATTCTGTAACTGTGCAGGACCGTCGTTCGGGGAAGACGATTGGCGTCGGGCATGAATCTCACGGCTTGTATCATCTTCATCCTGTTGATCCCATCGCTTGTGTGTCCGTTGAACCTGCATTAACATTACATAACCGTTTGGGTCATCCTAGCCTCTCAAAGTTTCGACGTATGGTTCCAGGTTTCTCAAGTCTTTCGTCTTTAGATTGTGAGTCATGTCACCTTGGAAAGCAACCTCGTAAATCCTTTCCAAGGCGTGTTAATAAACGGGCTGCGTCCCCTTTTGATTTAGTTCATACAGATGTATGGGGTCCGTATCGAGTCACTTCTACTTTAGGATTTCGCTATTTTGTTATTTTTGTGGACGACTTTTCCCGTTACACATGGTTGTTTTTAATGAAAGAACGTTTTGAATTATTCCATATTTTTCAGACTTTTTGTGCCGAAATCCACACTCAGTTTGGTCATTCTATCAAAGTTTTACGCAGTGATAATGCTAAAGAATTTTTTGCGGCACCCTTTAATGAATTCATGACATCACGGGGTATGATTCACCATTCTTCTTGTGTACACACGCCTCAACAAAATGGGGTAGCTGAACGCAAGAATAGACACTTAGTTGATACTGCCCGTACTCTGTTATTACATTCACATACACCACCTCAGTATTGGGCAGACGCTATACTCACTGCGTGTTATTTAATAAACAGAATGCCTTCCTCCGTTATTGATAATGAAATTCCTTATTCTGTCTTGTTTCCTAGTCGTGAGCTATTTCCATTACCACCTCATGTGTTTGGGTGTGTGTGTTTTGTCCATGATTTTACACCTGGATTATCTAAAATGTCAGCTAGGTCAATAAAATGCATTTTTCTTGGATATTCACGAGTCCAAAAGGGTTATCGTTGTTATTCCCCATTCCTTAAGAAGCATTTTATTTCGGCTGACGTCACTTTTATGGAGTCCTCCTTTTATTACCCATTATCTTCTGCTGATACTCCATCATGTTTGGACTTCATTTCATATCTTCGGCCCATCCATACAGAAACTGTTCTTTCCCCTCCATCTGATGAGCACCCCCACTGCCCTCCTGTGGTAGACCCTCCTCCATTACAGGTATACCATCGCCGTCCTCGACCTCCTGCCATTGAGCCTATCGTGGCCACGCCAGTTGATTCCCCTATGACGGTTCATGCATCATCACCATCAACTACCGCACCACCTGAAAACACTCTGGATGATTTGCCCATTGCCCTCCGAAAAGGTACACGTTCTACACTAAATCCACATCCCATATATAACTTTTTGAGTTATCACCGCCTCTCTACCCCGTACTATGCTTTTATTTCCCACCTATCTCATATATCCATTCCTAAAACCACACATGAGGCACTGGCACACCCGGAGTGGCGTAAAGCTATGTTGGCTGAGATGGAGGCTCTTCATTCTAGTGGGACGTGGGACTTAGTCCCCCTTCCCGCTGGCAAATCAGTGGTGGGATGCCGGTGGATTTACACAGTTAAAGTTGGGCCTGATGGGGAGATTGATCGTTTTAAAGCACGCCTTGTGGCGAAAGGGTATACTCAGATATATGGTTTGGATTACACTGACACTTTTTCTCCTGTAGCGAAGATTGCATCAGTTCGTTTGATTTTATCCATGGCAGCAATGAGCCGTTGGCCATTATTTCAATTGGATATCAAAAACGCTTTCCTTCACGGAGATCTACATGAGGAAGTTTATATGGAGCAACCACCTGGATTTGTTGCTCAGGGGGAGTCTGGTATGGTGTGCAGATTACGTCGTTCATTGTATGGCTTGAAGCAATCTCCGCGTGCATGGTTTGGGAGGTTTAGTGCCGTGATCTGCAGCTTTGGCATGATTCGCAGTGCTATTGATCATTCTATATTCTACAGACATTCTGCTGACAACAAATGTATTTATCTTGTTGTGTATGTTGATGACATTGTCATTACAGGTAGCGATGATCAAGGCATTGTGCTCCTCAAGCAACATCTCTTTAGCAAATTTCAAACAAAAGACTTGGGAAAGTTAAGATACTTCTTGGGCATTGAGGTCGCACAGTCTGAAAATGGAATTGCTCTCTCACAAAGAAAGTATGCCTTGGATATTCTTGAGGAAACACGGTTGCTAGATTGCAGGCCAGTGGATACACCAATGGATCCGAACGTTAAACTCTTATCAGAACAGGGAGATCTTTTGCCTAACAAGGAAAAATATAGAAGACTCATCGGCAAATTGAATTATCTTACCATCACGAGACCAGATATTTCATTTGCGGTAAGTGTTCTTAGTCAGTTTCTTGATAAGCCATGTACTGGACATTGGGATGCAGCTATCAGAGTTTTGAGATACATCAAGAAAACTCCAGGGCAAGGATTGTTGTTTGAAGATCGAGGCCACCACGATATTTTGGGATACTGTGATGCAGACTGGGCCGGATGTCCGATGGATAGACGTTCCACATCGGGATATTGTATCTTGATTGGTGGAAATTTAATTTCATGGAAGAGTAAAAAACAGGATGTGGTTGCCAGATCTAGTGCTGAAGCAGAATATCGTGCAATGGCTCTTGCTACATGTGAAATCTTATGGTTGAAGCATCTCCTCCAAGAGTTAAAATATGGAAACACAAAACCGGTTCAACTCATGTGTGATAATCAAGCTGCAATGCACATTGCATCAAATCCGGTATATCATGAGAGGACGAAACATATTGAAGTTGATTGTCATTTTATCCGAGAGAAGATCACGAGTGGACATATCATCACAAAATATGTGAACACAACTGAACAACTTGCAGATATTTTAACTAAGTCTCTCAGAGGTCCTAGAGTGGGATATATTTGTAACAAGCTTGGTACATATGATTTATATGCTCCAGCTTGAGGGGGAGTGTGAAAACCCTAGTAGTATTGGGCTTAGCCCATTTGTATATCTTGTATAGGAAACCCTAGTACTCTAAATATAGCTATAAATATAGCCTCTTGTATAGCACTTTATCATCAAGTATATGAAATACAACAATACTTGTTCACAATACTCAATTACCTTTACTTTTTCTACTTTTTATTTCTCTTTCATACTTTTCTACCATCTCTTCTACTTTTCCTACCCTATTGTAGCAAACATTTCATTATGGAGGGAGTAGGTCTGTTGCTACTTTTGGTCCTTTCTGGTCACTTCCAGTTAAAAAGTAAACCAGAGATATGGCGGAGGTTGACTGGTTAAGTGTATAGAAGGATCAATAGTGGCATTGAGTCTAGTGGTGGACCAAAAGTTCGAGTGACCTAATATTTGGGGGGCCAGAAGTGGACAGTTTTAGTGACATTCACAAGTATTTCAACATTGTCCTTGTCCTCTCAGTGGTTAAGTAATATTTTGATTTTTTTTGTTTCATAAATCAGGCCCCGCTGTTTGTAGAAGGTTGGGATGAAGCACTCCACGAGATAGGGAAATTATCATTTGAGACAGTTCTCTCCCCTGGCAATGCAATTTCTGTGCTAAAAGCGGTTGAAAACATACCAGTACTGGTAGTTGCAGGTGCAGAAGATGCACTTGTGCCATTAAAATCTGTTCAAATAATGGTGTCAAAATTTGTAAATTCAGTAAGTCTTCGTTTAATCCTTATTGCCCACTAGCCACAAAATCCACTTCGCACTTTGTTTACAAATGAGTAGCAATTTAGTACTTCCTCCGTCCCCCTTATATTGTCCCGTTTTACCTTTTCGGAAAATCCCACTAAAAGTGTCCCATACCATATTTGGTAAAGTTTGTGTGGTTCTAAACCATTCTTATTTTATTCTTACTTTATCAATTAAAATCAACCACACAAACCCACTTTTCTTAATCATCGTTCCACCCTCTTCCGTCCCAATATAAGAGGGACAGAGGTAGTAATTAATAAGCAATCCAATAAAATCAAAAATAGTAAAACGCCTAAGTGTTCTTCACGTATTTATTTCACTTTCATAGGGGGGGTCTGTTTGCTCATCTATCTATGACAAATTTAACGTTCACACTAAGAATCACTATTGTCCTTGGTTAGTGTCTTTTTGAATATAATGTTTTGGAGGCTTTTGAACTTTAAAGGGGAATGATTTGGAGGGTTTAGTTGATATGACCGTTTAACGTTTCAATAACTTTTTATTCATTTTAAAAAACATTCTATTTATTAAGGAGCAAAGACACTCCAAAACCTTACATCCAAACAGACCGCAATCTCTACAGTTACTTGAGTACAGATTAGCCTATGCATGTTCATTAGTTCAAACGTATCATTTATGTGAATGTGTTTTGTTGATGATATACATTGCAGAGACTAGTCGCAATATCTGGTTGTGGACATCTTCCTCATGAGGAATGTCCCAAGGCTTTGCTTGCAGCTATGTCACCGTTCATAAGTAGAATATTAGAGGCACCAGAATCTTAACACGCACTACTGTTAGTGCAACTCTCATCCTCTTCAAGTTATGTTTCTCTATTGTTTGGGAAAAAGGCAGAGTTTGTTGGTCTGGGCTCCTGTTTCCCTTTAGTTTTTGTATTTATCCAAATCTTCAGTTCACTTGAAGAGGCAAAGTCCCAAGTTTTGTCTCTCCTTTTGGGCAAATTTTTTGATGATGATTAATATTAGGGCATTATGATGATTTTGTTTGTTTGTTTGTTTGTTTGTTTGTTTGTTTGTTTGATACTCTCTAGGTAAGGTTTGTTTTGTCCAAGCAAACACGTTCTATTGTTTGTCCACACGTTCTATTGTTTGTTTCCGTCGTTGTTTGAGCAGATCTTGTTGTAAACAGTGCTTCCTTCACATATTTGTTTCAGCCTCTATCTCTCTTTTTCTCTCTGTTTAATTACATAACAACTTCCCCTATCAATAAGTTGGTCTGTTGGTGTGTCACTTGGTTAAATTTACACCCCTCTTCCCTAATTTATCTCTCTATTTCATGTTAAGACAAGATATGGTGGGTCTGATATAGTTCCTTCTCGCAGTAGTAGTAAATATTAATCATTTAAAGAAGGGAAAATGGAAACTAATAATCCAACCTTTTAGCGGTCTTCTTTTAATAGTCCGATCTTTTCGTTATTCATAAATAATCCAACATTTGCACCTCATCTTCATTCATTGGTCCCCGAGCGGTTGATGAACTGCTATTCCGAGTTATTTTCTTATCTCTGCAAACTATTAAAACATAAATTCCACCTTTTACAAAGATAATGTTTTGCAAAGATAAGAAAATAACTTGGAATAGCAGGTCATCAACCGGTCAGGGACCAGTGAATGAAGATGAGGTGCAAAGGTTGGATTATTCATGAATAACGAAAAGTTGGGACTATTAAAAGACCGCTAGAAGCAGATTCAACATTTTATGGCGATATGGGCGGACCCAGAGGTTTACTCAAGGGGGGTGCAGATCATGTCGGGTTTGGGTCTGATATGTGTAGTTCACGTTTCTAGATTAATGCTTAAACTGCTGCTCAGTTAACCAGTGTTGATTTTGGGTGATGTACATTTGAGGTTTCTATGTCTGTTTTTTTAAACTTAGTATGATTCTAAAACTCGGAGAAGTTGTGGGGTGGGGGTAGGGAAGATTCCACCAGTTTATTGAAGGAGAGGAGAGTGTATAATTGTATGAAGAGCAAGAGGATCAAATCAATGTCTACTTGAAAAAAAACAATTATGAAAGAGGAATTAGAAAATAACATAGGGGAAGTCAATGGCATCAAATTTCAAGTTCGTAAACGAGTAGGGTGTGCCGGTGTGGGCTATTTCCCTAGCTGATGTATTTTGCTGCATGGTTTGCTACTTTGTTAATGATCTCAAAAGTGATATATTGTCTTTTTCCTTTGATCCAAAAAAGGTGGAATCTCCCACCCGAGGAGTTGGCCCGGAACCGTCGGGCGCCGGCTACCCAAGCTGGTTCCGGTTCCATCATTCCCAAATAAAAGCCCGACCGGGCCTAGGCCCGAACCGGAATTGGCCCGGCTCGGGTCCATCCCTACATACACCTGTGCGCACCAAAGGTTCAGCCTTATTTCAGGTAATGTGACCTCCACCCGGTCGCTGTGAGGATTCGAACCTTGGTTCATTTATCCAAATCTCCTACCACTTGATCAACTGAGCTACCCGTGCGGGTTGTTGTGTCGTTTTCCAAATGTGGGTGATGTATATATGTCCAGAACTCCAGATGTCCTTACAATAGTTAACGTAGTGTGTGGTGATTGCCTGGCTGACCTTTTAATTTGAATGGAATCGATCATTAGCTGGTTATTACTACAAAACATTAGAGCTGATAAGAGCAAATTGAGGAGATTTGGTTGTCTTAAGATATCAAATCTAGGGATGGACCCGGGCCGGTTCCGGTTCGGGTCTGGGCCCGGCTGGGCTTTTGTTTGGGAAGTGGGGAACCGGAACCGGCCCGGGTGACCGACGGTTCCGGCCCGGGCCGGTTTCCGGTTCAATGTTATTTTTTTTTATTTTCTTTTGTTTTTCTAAATTATCCCCGACCCCCACCCCTTCACTCCAAACCCCCCAAAAACCCCCAACCCTACCCGGTAGAAACCAAAAAAAAAATTGAAAAAACAAAAAAAAAAAACAAATTTGGCTCGAATCGGCCCTGCCGGTTCAACATTTTCAAGGCCCGAGCCCGAACCGGGAGTTGAGCGGTTCCGGTTGGCCTGAGCTGGCCCCTAGACCGGGTACCAGGTCGGGTCGGGCCGGGCCCAAACAGTACCGGTTCTGGGCCGGGCGGCCCGACCCGAGTCCACCCCTAATCAAATCGCCTTTGTTGTTGTGGATAAAAATGGATTTACTATGGTAAATGCCGGTATGATTGGTGGCATAATTAATGGTGATTTTTGTCTTTGATGGGGATACCATCTTATAGTGTTAGGCCGGGCGTGTGATGTGCTTATAATTTACACACTTTTTAGGCTTAGTTTGTTAATAATTTTAGTCATTTAACTCTAGCAACAGCAGAGCCTAGCACAGTATAGGGAAAGGTTGGTGTGCGGGGGTAGGACGGGTCGGGCCCAGGCGTGGTCTCGGGCGGGCTTCGGTTTTAAGGAATTCAGTCTTGATACCGCCTCGATTTGTACTGGTACCGTTTTCGGTACGGGCTACCTGGTTGGGCCTCGCCCCGGTCCCGGGTATGGTCGGGCCCGATTTTTAGTTTTTTTTTTATTATTATTATTAATTCCACAAGTGTTATACATTAAAAATTAAATGTATATTTATTTGAAATATCAAGTACAATTGAGATTGAGAAAATTTTAAAACATTAAATATACATTGAGAAAAATCTAAAAGTCAATCAGAATCTCCGACAGTGTGAGTTGTTGTTTCCTCCGCGAAGTGGCGGTCGGGGCCAATGCAAATTTCTTGAGTTCTACGCCGGGTCTTCAACCATTCGTGGAAGCAAATGAGCGTCTCAAAAGATTGTGCGCTCAATCTCGTTTTATAATCCATTAGGACGTTGCCGGCTAAGCTAAATGCTTGTTCCACGGCTACTATTGACACCGACATTAATAGCATTTGCTTCACCATCTTTGATAAGATCGAGAACATTCATTCTTTGTCCTTCCATCATTTGAGAACGTCAAAGTCATCCCCTTCTTCATACTCACAAGGAAACGTTAGATGTAAAGAAAGCTTGTTAATCGGGCTTTGTGCAACAATGGGAGTTTTTTTTTACAGGTTACCAAATGTAGATTTGAAAAATGATTTTCATTTAGATGAAGAAGTAGTTTGTTTCGGGGGAGGGGGTGCGTTACCATAATGTGCATGAAACTCATTAAATAATTGATGAAATAAGTTACTAACCTCGTTATATTGCTCTTTAGGATCTACGACCTTGTCTTCGTACACAGGTAATGGATCGTAATAACAAGTATAATAATACTCTAAACAAGATTAAGAACAAGTTTGAAATGAGGATTAAGAACAAAGGCAATACCATATTGTTGGGTTAATGGCCCAAGTCAGGGTCCGGCCCATTCACCCCTTTTACCAGACGTACGTCCAGTTAGAACACAAAGCTAGCCTGGCAGGCCCATGTTCCTCCAGGAGGGATGAACGTCTGCAGTTGGGGGTTTAGGCTCAACGGCCCACCTCGACGAACGTCCATGCAGGGACGAGGAGCAGGACCACGGATCACCGGAATGACAACGAACGTCGTCAGAGCAAGCCCATGGCCATCGGAGGCGGTCCGGTCCACATGGCGAGAACCCACGAAGGCTAGGGGGCGAACGGCCAGTGCCCCTTAGAGGCCACCTGGAGCAACCCAGCTTTCTCCCCGGGCGGACGAACGTCCCCACTAATTAGGCGGGAAACCTAGATTCTGGCGGGAAGTGCATTTAATGCTGAAGATTTGGTGGTTGGGACACCAGCGAACCACAGGCTTCCACGTCAGTATAGCCACATGCCCATTGGTGGGTATAAATAGAAGCATTTATTTCATTGTAAAGGGTTGGCAACTTTCTATTCTTAGCATTCTAGCTATAGCATTCTTACTCGTAGCACTTCTACTGCCTTGTAAGACGAACGGCCGGCGGAGCCTTAGCGAAAAGTATTGTATTAGGGAGTTATTAAGAGATAATAATACCTAATCACTTACTTGCTACCTTATTGTTCTCTTTGATCCAAATCATTTGCTTGTTGGGCTAGATATTCATACACACTCCACTCGAAATCCTTGGGCTTACGTGTTGGACCCGAGGGTTGAAGGAATAAACCTCAACACTGGCGCCGTCTGTGGGAAACTGAACTAAAAGTTTCCAAAACTCTCCCAAACAGCTACTAAATCTACCCACAGCAAGCACGATGACAAGGAACAATCGACAACGTGACCTCTCCGAGCAGCTGTCCCGCGGGCGAAGCAATCGCGGGCAAACCATGGAACGCTCCGAGACGTTGGGAACTGCTGGGGGTGAGGGTGGCCTCACCAATCTCATCCCCCACGAGGCCAGACGCGACCCCCGACTCATGAGGGAGTTGGCGGAAACAATGCGCCGAATGGCGGACGAACAGGAGGCGGAAGAAGAGGTGTATTCAGCTAACACCATCTGGACGCCCATATCACCCATCCACCACATGCAGTCCCTGGATGAGACAGCAGAATCTGCCGGGCGTCGGACGCCCGTCCACGCGAGGTTGGGCCAGAATCCGTCCTCCCACGGAGCTGGGGGGCACACCAGCGCCGCTACCCCTCGTTATGGGTGGCAGGATGATCATTGGGGGCGCACGCCGGATGCTCCCTCAGAACATCAGGGCACCGCCATTACCCCTGCCGCCAGTAACATTGGGCGACGTTTCCAAAGGCGTGGTGCCCATATCACCCGAAGGCAGCCCGACGCGGTTGCTCCACGAAGGAACATTGCACTCGAGGCCGCCCCTCCTGTGTCCCCCGGAAGGGCCGCACAGGAGGCCCGACTAGAGGCAATGGAACGGCGAATAGCCGAGATGGACAGACGGGCGGAGGCCACCCCAGCTACGCCTCGTTTCTCCCTCACCTCGCTGTTTACTCCGAGGGTCATGAATGCAGAGATCCCGCGGGACTGCAGACCCCCCGGAGGAATAGTATACAATGGGACCGGTGATCCCAAGGCTCATTTGATCAGCTTCCAGGGGAACCTCTCCATGCTGGGAGCATCCGATGAGGCCATCTGCCGGCTCTTCTTCAGCACCCTGAGGGGCCCGACGCAGGAATGGTTCGGGCAGCTGAGGCCCGGATCTATTGACAACTACGAACAGCTGTCCCAGCAGTTCATGGCACAATTCGCTGCCAGCACCACCCCCAAGAAGAGCTTCACATCGCTCACAAGTGTGAAGCAGGGGAGGGACGAACCTCTGGCCAAATTTCTGGTC